TGGTTCAGGACACAGAGACTCCGAGTGCAGGCAATGAACTGGAGGGAGACCAGGCCTGGCTTCAGAATGCCAGGCTTCTCACTGAGTTGTGCCACTCGTAGCTGGCCTAGGTTCTTTTGTACCCTCTGGTTTCAAACACAAGTGCTATGAAATTGTTGTAACAAAAGGCAGAGAATGAAAAGTACCTTTAGAGCTACCAAAAAAGTAGTCTACTGGCTTCTTTCCCAGGTCCCCAATCTCAATTGCTGGTGCCACCAACTACCCAAACCTGAACCAGGAGTTATCCTTGACCCCTCCCTCTCAATCACACGCCAGTCCAAAGAAAGATCAAATTCTACTTCCAAAATGCAGCTGAAGTCCAACACCTCTCTATACCCCCACAGCCACTACCGCAGTTCAGTTCCCCATCACCTCTCATCTTGATGGCCACAATCTGTTTCCAGAGTGATCTTTTTAAAATATAAGTCTGATCATGTCACACCCTTACATAACACCTTTCAATAATTACCCATTCATTGCTCTTGGGAAACCAAAACCAAACCCAAATGCCAACATTGCCTATAAGGCCCTGAATTTTTTGGCCCCTGCCAAACTCTCCTCAGTAATTGCAAGCAACTTTCCCCCCTTGTCACGCCCTGGCTACTTGGTGAAGTTTCTGGGAAACCCACCAGACTCAGGTCCTGTCCATAAGCTGTTCCCTTTGCCTGGAACATTCTCTTTGCTGATCAATCCTGATTCATTTTTTAAGTCTAGTCTGTACCCAGCAAAATCTTCCAAGAAGGCCTCCTGGTCTAGGCTAGAGTCTCCTCTAATTCTCCATGGTACCATTACAACAATCGTAATTTAAATTTTTGGTTTTGCCATAATTTTTAAAGGCCTGCCTCTCCTGCAGCTGTAGGGTCCATCTCAGGGTAAAGAATTGCTGCACCTGCCTTGTTCCACTGTTGTGCCCACAGCATCCAGCACAGTGACTCACTCTGTGTGTGCCGGATGAGTGACCGAATGGATGAGTGCATGAACGAGTCTCCAGGTCGGGGAGCAGGAAAGGCCTCATGGAGGAACTGGCATGGAGGAGGTGATAGTTAAGATTGGGACCTGCAGGAGGCACGGGCCTGGCATCAGTGAGCTGCGATCTGCCTTAACTTGCAGTTCTGATCATCTAAGCTTCCTTTCCTTCCCGAAAGTCATTGATCCAGCCCACCTCCAACTAAACTTCCCCTCTGCCAGGCTTTCTGCCCGGGGCCACAGCCATCCCCACTTCTCTTCCCTTTCCACTCTCGTTCCCTGCCAGCTCTCTCCCCAGTCCACTTTCCCACCACACCCTTGATTGATGTAACGGCATAATTGTGTGATGTCGGAAAGCTAATTTGTACTTCTGCTGGGGCACTGAAGTGTCTGGAGCTTCGAAGCTGGCCTTGAGAAGCAGAGGGGAGCACCACGCCCCATCTCGGTTCTCCTTCAGGCTCAAAGCACAAGTGTCTAACCTTATCTGCAAGGTCCCAGTCACAGAGGGCTATAACCTAACCCAAACCAAACAGCCACCCACGAAAAGAACCGGGAAGAAAAATCTTTCCACTGGTGCAAAGACAATCTCCCTGTGGCACTCTCCCCATCTCCCAATAGAGGTCATTGGTTCAGTTTCTCTTTCTACCTTCTACGGGGTCCTGTCAGCACCTATTTTCTTGGGCACAGATTGGAGAATGGCATGGCATTTTTCTTCCTGCCAAACTGAGGCACACTCAGACAAAGAAGCAAGGGGAGGCGACTCCCTGGCTTTGTTGTGCATTTCCCAGTTTCAGAGGTCTCAAGCAGCATCAAGTAACAGACCTAAAGAGGATAAAGACAAAAAAATGTTTCTGAAAGAGTATGTGTATGTGTGTTGGGTGGGGCTTGTGCTGTCAAACAGGGATTTACTATTTGATATAGTGTGAAAGAATAAACAGTATTAAATAATAATAACTACCATTTATTGGGCCTGTACTACATGCCAAACACTTTGTGAAGTGTTTTATGAATAGCATTTCATTTAATTTTCAAAACAACCCAGTGAGGGAAGCATGTATGTGCCCATTTTACAGATGAAGAAACAGGCTCACTGCATCACACAGCTCATTAGGGGGCCAAGCTCCAGGACTGAGACCCTGCCGCTCTTGCTCTGAACCACTGCTGGCAACTGGCTTCCCAAGGCCTAGAGATGAGAAAGGAAAGGAAATTGGTTTATGGTGTGGCAGAGGGCTTGCGATTAGACATAAAGAACTTTCTGACAATGAGGGCTGTTTGGTTGTAGTCGGGGTAATTAGGCTTGTTAGAGCTATTCCTCCCAGGGCCTTTACATTCAAGATGAATGGATGCTTCTATGCCTGGATGGTTTAAGGGAAGTGCTCTCTGTTCGCAGCACGGGGCTGGCCTGTTTGAACTAACTGACAGCCTCACTGGGGATACAAGATTGTCACACGTGAAACCGTTAGATAACAGGAGAAGATAGCACAGACTGTGTGTCCGAGTGGGACTGGAAGTAAGCAAAGGCTATAGACAGGCAGATGCTCCTGTGGTTAAAATCAAGGGCTTTGTGGTCAGGCAGGCCAACTCGTGTTTGAGTCTCTGTTGGCTCTACTACTTTTGTGACCTAGTGTATGTTACCTAACCTCTCTAACCTTTGGTTTCCTAGTCAGTGAAAAGAGGCTAAGAATAGAATCTACTTTGGAGAGTTGCCATGAGAATTAAATAAGATGATCCATGTAAAATACTTGGCACAGAACCTGGACATAATAAAAATACAATGAGTGGTAGCTGCTAGAATAATAATTGTTATTGGTGGAGTCCAGAGGCAAGACAGAGCAGTGCAGAATAGAGCTATGAGAAAGTCCTCCTGGGAAACCTGAGTTTTGTCCTGGAGCTCGAAGACTTGGTCAGGTTAAATCAATAGGATGGAAGAGGGACAGAGGTTTCAAATTCCCCATCATTTAAAAAGAAAAATCTGGTTTGATCTGTGGTTAAAGTAGAGAAGGAAGTTGATTATGGGGAAGAGGTGGGGGAAATAGATGACCTCCTCCATCCTTGTTTCAAAACCCAAAATTTGAATAGAGACAAAGATAGTCTCCAGGACCTAAAAAAGAAATCAGACAGCCAGAGCTTCTTTGCCTACTTCTGGACTCCTGTGGGAGAGGAAGGGGGAGGGGTCTGGGGACATGGGTGAGGGCAGAGCTGGTGATGGATGGGGACAGGACCTGAAACAGGGGAAGTTAGGAAATGTGGGTGAGGCCCTTAATGACTGTGTGGGCTGACTCATGTGGGAAGACCTAGCTTTAAGGCTGTATTGAGATCTAGTATCTGATCAGGCAGAAGGCCAGTTTTGGGACCCTGGACATTTCTAATCTTCAGTGCTGTCAGCTAAGGGTGGGAGTCCCTAGGGCAGCAATCTTTGCGCTAATCCAATTACTCTCTAACAGCCTGCTTTATCTTCCTAATGTGAAGATAAACTCCTTAGGGGCCAGGTGGTTCCCTAGGAAAGGTGCTGTTTGTTTTAGATCCTCTATGCTTAAGCCTCTGACAAGTACCTACTATCAACCCCTTGTATCAAGCATGGTGTGGTCCCCTGTTAAAAATGTTAATTCTCAGTTCTTTTCCCTAGAGAGTCTAATTCCATAGATTTAGGGACCCAGGAATCTGTGTTTTTAAACAAGCATCCAGATTCTTTAGGCAAGGCAAATTTGGAAAACCCTGAGTTAGATAATCTCTTAAATCCCTTTCAGCCCTAAATTTAGGCAGCAGAGTATAGTAGGATAGGGCCCTGGGTAGGTAGTAAGAGGCAGGTTCTAGCTGGACCCTGCAGTTCACAGGGCCCTGTACTGGGAAAGCCCTAGAAGGGAAGGAGACTGCAGAGCACAGGAGAGTTTTCACCCATCTGCAATCAAGAGCTCAACAGAAGTGAAAAAGGACATCAGGGAACAATAGGCTCTGAGCATCCTCCTGGGGCTTTCTCTTGCCTGGGACTGGCAGGACAGTGCAGGGCTCGGCAACTCCCACTATACACAGGGGGACACTGACGCCCCAGAGAATTTTTAAAACGCGCCTAAATTGCACAGCTAATCAAAGGAGGCAGGAATCCAGATCTCCTGGTCTTCGTCCAGTTCGTTGTTGGGGTGCATGGCAAGGCAGGCATATTTTCTTGTGGCCGGTGGGAGGCCCCTGATGGAGAAGGGCCAGTGTTCCGAGTCTCTGCAAGTTCTCCCCAGCGGCCTGGAACCCAGCCTTTCCCGGATTTGCTCAGTCTGTCACTGGAGAAAGAATGGTGTCGGAGAGGTGAGCAGGACCACAGAAAGGCCTGAATGCAGGCAGTGAGGCAGAAAGGACGGAAAAGAAAGCCACACAGGGGTTCACACAATCTGAGAGCTGCGAGGGCCGCGTCCAGATCGGTGGCCTGACTTATCACGATCTCACACCTGATGGTGTCCAACTCGGGCAAGAACCCCCCCCCCCAATCCTCTCCCGATGTAGCAGGAAGCAGAAGGAGTTCGAGGTGAGTTCTGATTTTGCACAAGCTTTGGAGCAATTCGCTGTGTCAGAGAAACTGAAAGACCAAACAAAACCCCTCAAACTCCAAGCCCGATTATTTCATCCACGTGGCACAAGAACAAGCCAAAAGAGGGGGGCGGGGAAGAGTCACCCGTCCCGCCCCTGCTGGGAGGAAGGGATTTGCCTGGAGAGCAAACTTCTGGCACAGCCGGGTGGCTGCGGGAGGGAGGGGAGACGGGAACGCCGTTGCCCACAAAGCCGCTGCGCCCTCTCCCCGCCCCTGCCCGGCCGCGGGAGCGCGGGGAGCGCGGGGAGCCGCAGCGGGCCCTTTAAGGGCCGAGAGGTGCGCGGTCTCTTTAAGGCAGGTCCTGGTGGTTTCTGTTTTCTGAAGGAAGTGACGGGGGGCGGGATTGAATGAAAAGTGCAAAACAGAGTGGCGGAGCGCCGGAGTCGGGGGCCGCGGGAGCCGCGGCGCTGGGCCGGTGGGCGGGCCGGGGCAGCGCGGTCTGGGACTCGGAGCCACCGGGGCGCGCGGCCGGGCGCAGCCCACGTGCGTCCGCGCCACGTCGCGGTCGGCCCCGCGGCTGAGCCCCGCGGCGGAGCGGCGCCCCGGCGCCCCGGACTAGCCCCCAACTTCGGGCGAAGTTTGCCAGCGCCTCTCCCCGCCCCCACGCGGCGCGCCGGGGCCGCGGAGGGCGGCGGCGGCGGCCCCCGGGGATGCGCCCGCCCGGCCACCGCGGGGTCCCCACGACGCGCCCCGCGCTGCTGTGGCTGCTGCTGCTCGTGCCGCTGCTGGGGGCGCCGCGCGGCGTGGCTGCGGGGACGGGCGCGCCGGCCGAGCTGCGGGTCCGCGTGCGGCTGCCCGACGGCCAGGTGACCGAGGAGAGCCTGCAGGCGGACAGCGACGCCGACAGCATCAGCCTCGAGCTGCGCAAGCCCGACGGCACCCTGGTCTCCTTCACCGCGGACTTCAAGAAGGTGAGGCACCCTCGCTCGCCGGGGTGGGACCTGCGAGTCTGAGCCCAGGAATGGGATGAGACTTCCCCAGGGTCGCGCCGTGATCGTCTCTACGTCTCTTTGTCCCACTCCCCAGCGCCCAGACCTGGCCGCCTTCATTCTCCCCAGCGAACTGCTCTGCTGCCCCCTCCTATCCCCGCTCCAGCCTTTCATCTCTGGTCTAGAAACCCCAGCGCCTTCTCACGCCCTGACCACCTCCTTCCCCCACTTCTTCCTCCAGCGCTCCCAGAGCCCCCCAGACACTGCCCTTCTTCAGAAGAATTACGGTTAACAACCCCAACGCCCTTCTTGGAGTAATTTCCCTGTGTTCTAGCGGAAACGTCCCGGGCTGGATATCAGAGGTCCTGGGTTCTCACTGTGTTGCTGTGTGGTCTACAGCAAGTCCCTTTCCTTCTGTGGGCCTCGTTTTTTCACCTCTGCCCAGAGCAGTGAGGTGGCTGTGAGGCCTCCCATCCCTGACATCTTGGAGCCCTTAAATTACCTCTCTCTCTGTCTCACTTTCCTGGGCAGAGCTGACTGTCCCTGGTTCTTCCCAAGCCCCAGAGAAGCTCTCTCTCCTCTTTGGTCTGAAAGGCTGGGGTGCCTGCGGCGGGAGGACCCTGGGGAGAGCCTCCAGGTGAGGCTCCCTCCCTCTAGGAGAGATGCCACCCTTTACCCTGCCTGGGAAGGGAGCTAGCCAACAGCCCCCACCCCTTTTGGCCCTGATTGGGGGTAGGGGGTCAGAGATCAGCCCCTACTCAGTGAGTCTGTGTGTGTTGTGGATGGAACCAGGAGGTGGGCCTGGCCCCCAAGGGGGCGGGGGAGAGTGGAGGTATTGGGGGTTATCAGGAAATGAGCCTGGAAGGATGATGGTAGAGTGACTAACAGTGACCAAGCAGCAGGAAACCCGGAGGAAAAGAGGGTGGGTGAGTTTTAGGTATTCAAAGGGAGTCTACCATGTCCTGCTCCTAGCCCCTCTCCTACTAAAGAGAGGCCCAGTGAGACTGTGTCTCTGGTGGAGTGCAGAGGTGAGGCAGGTTAGTTAGCTGGGGAAGCCCAGGGCCTGTGGGACTGGGGACAGGGGCCTGAGCCACCTCTCTCTCCTCCCTCCTAGAGACTGGGAGCTTGAGAGGAGAGGTTGCAGAGTCTCGGGGGTCAGCTAGGGACCCAGAGAGATTGCCATAGATAGCAGGGGTGATGGGAGATCCAATGGACAGTGGGGTAGGGGGTTAGGCTTGACTGCCGATCTGTCCCAGGGCCACCAAGTTGTCACTGACATAGTACTTGGGTGGACCAGTGCGGGGTGAGGGGGTGAACCTTCACAGATGGGAAGGCTTTGTGGTCCACCCATACGCAACAGGCCTAAGCTAGGTTCTCAGATGCAAGTGGGAGCAGATAAGTTTGTGTGGGGACACAGGGAAGCTGACAGGGCCAGAACACCCCCTGCCTTCCCCCCTAAACTTCAGAGGAATTTTCCCAAGTGTGTTCTGTTCCTGAAAAATCTAAATTAGTGGCTGGATCTTTGGGGAGTCAGGGATCTAATTGTCCATGCCAGCGCCTTGTCCTTGAAGTTAGCCCCAGGCCAGGCTGTGAGCCTCCCACCCTGCTGCCCACTGGCCTTGCTCCCGTGGCTGCACTGGAGCCCTGGACAGACTTCCCCATTCCTGGGACCTCCCCAGCAGCCAAGGCTGTGGCCAGGACAGTGAAAGAGGCAACGGGGCAGGGCTGAGTTTTATAGCCTTTAGCTACAGCTGGAAGTTTTTTATTGCTCTGACCTGAAAGCTCCCTCTCAGAGGGAGTGCCCAGGTGGCTGCTGGCGGTGGGGGTGGGTGCCGGGGATCGGGGCTAAGGGTATAGGGGGTGTCTGACTGCCCAGTTAGGGAAGGCACTTGGAGCTGATAGCAAGGACCTCCTTTGAATCCTCACAGTGGTTCAAACCTCCACCCAGGTTTCCAAAGTCTGCTTTTCAGGTTAGCCTCTGACCCAGAAGCTGGCATTTCACACCCGCCCCTGGCATCTCCAATTTCATCAGTAAGGGAGGGAGTTGGGAGTGGAAGGCAAAGAAAAGGAACCAGCTCTCCAAAGCCCCCTCAACTCTAGGTTTCTTAGTTGGCCTGGGACGGGGTGGGGTTGGGGAATGCAGGGGTGGGGAGGAATGGCCTTTACCCACACCCAATACACTGTCTGCATTGGCCAAAGCAGCTTTTGTGCTCGAATCCTTCTGGGGTGGGTCCCCTCTCTTGTTGCCCACTTAGTTCTCAAGGCCTCATGCCTCATAGTCGGTGGCAGATTTCCACAAGAAAGTTCTTTCCAGGACTAATGATTTTTCCTGTAAGAAAGAGGCTTGGAAGTTTTATTTTTTTTTGTTTTCTGTACCAAACCCATTTGGGTTGGTTGGAGAAAAGTCCCTAATCCACTTGGAAAGAGTGATGTTTTCCATTTGATCACCCTCGGGACACTGAATGAGACAGACCTGGTTTACCACTTATTAGCTGGTTAACCCTGGGAGGGCAGTTTGGTCTCTCTAAGCCTCCATTCCTTCATCTGTAAAATGGGGATAATAATTGTACATGTCCCATGGTTATTGGGAGAACCAAACAAGGCAGTGCACAGGAAATGCTCACGCTGTGTTCTGATACTGTGCTAAGTGCTTGAGAAGTAGAAGCGACTGGCTTTGATAATTGTGGCTCACAACACCATGGCAGCAAGGATCCTCCCTGCTAAATCTGGACTCAAAGAGGTTGAATGACGGACCCAAGGTCACACAGAACAGTCAGCCCTGAGCCTGGAGGGGCCTTGAGTTCCTCTTTGCAACCTTCTCTTTGAAGCTCCAAAATTGCTGGCCAGCCCCTCAGACTAGGAGCAGCCATCCTTGTCCTGACAGCTTACCCAGGGCAGCAGTGACTCCTCCTGTGCTGGTTGGAGCGAAGCCCTCTGTCTCGCCGATCCCCCCACCCCAGACCCAGCACCCTCTCCCCGGCCCCTCCCACCCCTCCCTGTTTGCCAATACCCCAGGCAGGGTTCCAGCATAGTCTGACCCTCCCCCACACTGCCACCCTGGACCCGAAGCAGCCACAGTCATCAGCCCATGGTAGGACACACAGCCTGGTGCCCAGGCGAGGCTAACAGACTCCATGCGTAGCTTGAAGCTATCAAATGGCTGTTGTGCGTTACTGCCAGCCCTGCCCTAAGGCTGATGTCCCTCAGGCTGAGCGCTCCCAAGCTTTGCTGCACATCAGAATCACTTGGGGAGCTTCGAAACAGCCCCATGTTTGGGCCACACAACATACCAATTAAATCAGAATGTCTGAGGGTGGGAGTCAGGCAGCAGCATTTTTTAAAGCACCCCAGGTGATTCCGACGTGCAGCAAAGTTCAGGAACCGCTGCTACAGCTGCTCCAGGGAAGGGCAGGAGGCCTGGAGGAGGAGCCAGGTTAGTTTGTTCAGTGAAGGCAGGGCCCAGACTCAGTCACATATTTGAAACCCATCACTCTACCCACCGTAACCCCAGTGTGTTTTGAGCAGCATATATACTTCAGGCCTAATTCCTCATGCTCTCGGTATAAGAACTCTAATTCCTAATGTACATTCAATAGGCAATACTGTTCTTTCTACTCCAGATCCTATATGCATAATTAGACCTGTATGGACATAATCACTGGCATATCTAGTAACAGTCATGTCACCATCCCTAGTCTCTAACCTGGCTGTGTGACAGCCCTCTCGGTCTCCCTCCCCCAAGTTGGTGTCCCTGTCCAAGCTCTGTTTTGCCTCTGTCCCGCAGTCTGAGTGTCCAAAACGTGGGGAGGGGATGAGTCATGTCCCAGGCAGCCCGGCTTAGTGCTGACCGGATGGGGAGGGTGGGGCTGAAAGATATGCAGAAAGTCATGTGTGACCGCATCGGGGTGGGGGGTACGTCTCCGAGGGGAAAGGAGGAGACACAGACTCCAAAAGTGTGGAGGGAGGAGACCACGAGGGCCCACGGCTGGAGCCTGGGAGGGGGAGCCATGGTCAGCTCTGGGTCACCCCACGGGACAAGGACCTGGGGAGGGTGGAAACACAAGCCCTGTCCTGGGCACCGATGGGTGAGTGGGCACCAGAGGAAGGAACAGTCCAGAGTGCTATAGTCCCTGGTCTAACACCGAGAGCCTTGGGCTACAGCGAGTGAAGATGTGGAATGTGCAAATGGCCACATGGCTGCCTGAGGCTGTTATCCCGAGGGGATATCACATCACACAGATGTGGACGGAGAGGCTTTTAGAGCGCAGTCTCCCCCTACCCTGTCCGTGTTAGGTCCCCTAAGGTTGGCGTGGAGGCCTGTGATGCATGGCAAGTCTTCCTGGGGAACAGAGGGCAGTAGAGATGCTTTCGGGGAGGCTCAGACCTCTCTGCAGCTCAGAGCATTTCCTCAGAGACGTCAGAATGACCAGGCTCTTGTGCTTGGGGCCGTCAGGTCTGACGCCAGTCTCAGGAATTCCTCCTTGGAACAGGGATGAGCAGCCCCACCTGAGGGTTCAAACGTGCTTCCCGGAGCTTGGCCAGCATCTCCCAGCCCTGAGTGCTGTGTCCAGGTGGAGTCCTAGCAAAAGATCCCAGGCCTGGGGACAATGGAGTGGCCTGCTGGAAAGTGGGTGGGGAGAGGTGGAGGTGGAGTTCTTCCCTGCCAGGCTGCCAGGCAGCGAGTAAACTCAGGACAGACTCCTGTCACGCAGAGGGCCGAGCCTTGAGGTGAGGACTGTCCCAGTGTCTCGAGATCACCCATTGGGCAGTCACTCGAGTCACACATCCTCACTGCAGCGCACACCATGAGGCAGGGATTGCCCCTACCTTGCAGCCGTGCAAACTGAGCCCCACAGCTCTGGAGTGATTTTGACAAGATCCAGGATTAGGACCCAGGGATCCTTCCGCTATGTCCTGACTGCCTGCCTGTGCTTCCATGGCACCGTGAGAGGGCTCCTTCCAGAAGGCTGAAGAACCCTGGG